AGCTGAGTGCTAGGAAAACCTCCTTAAAGATTAAAGCAGTTCAACTGTGGAACCAATAAGTAAAGGAGCTGATAACCTCCCCTTCACTGCATACGTTCAGGCAGAGATAGGACAGCCATCTATCAGAGATTCTTTATCCCAAGAGATTACAGTCAATGACATCAGCATACAGCATAAGCATCTGTATGATGTCATGAATGTAGTAATCCCATTGGCTTTAGAGAAAAGGCAGTCATCTGCAGGGTTTACCATACAAAAACTAATGAAATCCTATATTCTGCTATTTTTTATTCATAAGTCCTTCACAGTCAGAAGAAGGAGGAGGAGGAGGAGGAGGAGGAGGAGGAGGAAAGCTCAACTAGAACACTAACAGCTTCTTAATCCATTGACTGTTTCTGCACTTATTGTGCAGCCACTGTACTTTAGAGAAAGATTTGTTAAATTGCATGCTTATGGTTTGACTTAGCTGTAACATGTCCTGGTGCTCCTAAAAGTGGTCATTTGCAAAGCAGAGGTTATTTTTATTGTTGTTGCTGTTGTTGTTTTTTTAAATGAGAAAACAGCATTTTTCTATAGAATGAGGCTTGTGGTTCCTATGTGACAAAATGCTAAGGAAACTGTCAGCAAAAGGGAGATGAACTAGGGGATCTGAAGCAACTATGCAGAAACATGAGTCAGTAAATGATTAGCCTACCCAAACATATCTACCTGTTAATAATTTATGGCCCCGTCAGCCACTGTCTGGAAAGAAAAAAAAACTCCCTTTAAAAATGAGCCAAAGCTGATGTAGCCATCAGAAATTCCTTCTCTTCCCAAGTGAGTGGGCAGTTTGCAGATAAATGCCCCTCTGAAATTTCCCATTCATGCTCTGAAATTAACTTGGTTTTAAGAAAATCCTACTGCAATCTCATTTTGAGTGGGGAGGAAGGAGTGTGAAGTAATGTCTGGAGAGTATATCTTAAGGGTCTCCTAGCTCTACACCTATACGTATGCTCAACAGGAGAAGTCTTCCTTGCAACCTTCTAGAAAATTACTCCAAACTGGACAGAATGAGAGAGAGAGAAGGGCACACCCCTCCCTTGGGATTTAATTATAGTCGTTATGAAAGTGAGGAAAGGGTTGTGAAATAAAAATACGACACTGAAAATGAATATCATTACGTTGTTACACATTTGTCTCTGAAATGGTTTTTCTGAAAAATCGCAACACTGGCCAACCATGAATGCTAATAGCTAATTTTATTCTCATTTGCAAATGTCTAGCAGGTGTCACTAGAGTAACTCAACCAAAACAAGGATCCACTTTTTGGACTTCTCCAACAGCCTAAAAACACTCTCCTACTAGAACTTTTAAGAAGTACAATAGGCATGTGCAAAATGTATCAGTCCAAAGCTTTTGATTTCCCTATGGATTACATCATTCTGGATTAGTTGGTGGTTCCCCAAAGTACAATCCAAACCAAAACCAGCTTGTGATATTCCAGATATAACTTCCAGATTAGCTTGGTCTCTGTCACAGCAGGTCTATCCGTTCGATCTAATCTGCACAACATACAAAGTCAACGTGTATTTATTTGCTTTTGGTTCAATGTGTTGCATTTACGTAGCCTCTGTATTTGTTCAATCACTTTTTGCAGTTTAATACATTGTTTAAGTCCAGCCATTGTGGTTCACTCCATAAATCTTGGCTGCATAGTTGACCAACCCAGACCTTGCATCTGGCAAGGATTCACACATATGGCAGAGATGGTCACTGCTGTTTACAGCCTCCTGGATATTATGTTGCAGTTGAGATGAATTGTGAATTGGACCCATACGCATTTGTTGTAGGTATGATCAATCAGTAATCATGCTGGAGGGGAAAGGGAAAATCCAGAAATGTAGCATTTGAGAATGGGAATATCTGCTGATAGCAGTGAATTTTCATTACTTCTTTCTCTAAGCTGTAAGAATTGTTTATCCTTTGCAAACTACCTGATAATATACAAGATAGCTCAGAAAGAAGAGGTCTGGGAGTCTGTAAGAGATCTGTATTGCTATCTTCCTGAAATATTTTTTGATTGTAATTATACTGGTATTATTATTGTTGTTGTTGTTGTTGTCAATCTGCAAGTTGGAAAAACCTAGTTTGACCCAACAGAAATCTGATTTTGATTTTGGTTGTGCCTTCTATAATGGTTGAGTTTACACATTGTGCTATGTCATGCCTTGTTTAACCCTAATTTGAGTAACCTCAATTGACTGGCTTCAAGAAAGACTTAAACCATTATTTAACATTATCTAACATTTTCATATGCAGTGGTTAATTTCACACAACTACCGCCTATAGAATTCAGGATCTTTCTTACCGTCTTGCACACCTCTACAACACATCACTTTTATATTAACTTGGGATTTCCTGCTATTCCATCCTATTTAGGTGGCATTGAATAAACAACTATGGGAAAACATCTGCTTTAATAGATGGACTAGAACTAATTTAACAAAATACAGATGTGTGAGAAAGGGGATGTTTCAAAGTCTGTCCAAACCACCAACATATATAGTTGCCTGATTAAGAAGATCTGCCAGATGAACTTTTACAAACTTTTGATCAGCTCTAGTAATAAATATATGGGTGTGTGGAGTAAGTTAGGGTGGGGAGTACTACAACACTTCTGAGCAGCCCTGTCAATTTGCCAAAATCGGTTGAGATGTGGAGCATAGATAGCGGAGCTTGTGCCTTTATTGCCAACTTGAGAAAATATCAAAAGCCAAATTGGGTGTTTACCAAAAGCATTACCTTCTCAGCAAAGCTGTTATCATCAGTGGGTTGTGTCTGACTGGTGATCATGACCGCACAAATAATCTTGCTGTCAGTGAAACTATCAACAAAGTAAAATCTACAAGACTGTTGATCTGTTCTTCAGTTTACTGCAGAGATAAACACAATGCCATCTTAATTTCCCATAAAACGGAGGGCTTTCAATGATTAAATCCGTATTTATGAAGATCATTACGTATAACCAACGTCTGTTTGGCCATTTTACCACATTTTTATGAGAAAAGCTGGCATTATAATATTCATTCCCATGTTACAGTGAAAAAATATGAGAGAAATAAAGATAAAAACACCACTTAGCTAAGGTCACTTCATGAGCTGATAGGCAAAGTGAAGCCAAGAACTCTTAGCTTACAAATATCCCTTTTGATGAACTCTTGTCACCCTTTCATCCTTATGGTTTTCCAGGAGTCACAGCCACTGCTGCCTTCTTGTTTTCCACAATACTAACAATCTAATAATTATAACAATTTCTGAACAGGAAGCAAAAGCAACAATAATATGATCCACAGAAGACCATCAAATGGGAACTAGTATAGCTTGGAGATCATCAAACCAAGAATTGGAATTCTATCGGTAGGACATTGTATTTTGTTATTTTCTCTAGGTCTTTCTCTATTGTCCTGCTGTCTACAGGTACCACAATATCCACTATCTAGACTTTTTGGTCTTTTTTTATCAACAATTGTTAATTCAGGGGGTGCTTGCCTAGAAACACAAATGGAACTGTGGCAAAGAAAGCAAAGATAGTACCAATAGCAACACGGGCGCCTTGGGTTGAATCCCAAAGCAACTGGAGCACCACTTGAACACCGTCAGCATTGACAAAATCACCATCAGTCAATTGCAAAAGGCAGCTTTACTTGAAACAGCTTACATCCTGCGACAATACTTTCCACAATATCAAACATCTGCCTATCCCAGTTCCTTGGGAAGAACTCGATAGATGGTAATGCCAAACAATTATTTATTATGGTTAATTGCACAATCAGCCAGTTATTTAGACTGGATTTGGACTTGAGTGGCACATTTCAACTGCAGTCATAGTAACTGCCAAGAAATGACACTGTCCACATAACTGTGAGCTACTGTTTCTCTAAGAACTCCCAACAACATAAATCTAGGAAACAAGTGAATGAGATGATTTACACCAAGGGAATGTGAACATGCATCCTTGCCTTATCCCGACATCTGAAGCAGCTCAATGGAGTTCTTCGATTCATTTCATATCTACCCCACAATCATGGCTAAATGGAGCCTCTCTCCACTCAACCTCAATCAACGCCCTACTTTCTGTTCTTCACCTACACTTACTACTTCTACAACCCACAGATACAGTTCATAGTGCAGAACTAAAATGACTAACCACTTCCTCTTGCATATAGCTCCTAAAATTATCTTCCATCTTCCCCAGAGGCACCACATACATGCACACACACTCACAAAGAATTATCAGCCCTATTAAAAAAAAAAACCTCTGCAAATTGAAAGAATTACATTCAGGTGTGGCCTCAAAGGCAGCTCCAATTGTCTCACCACTGCTGTTAAAGTGCAACCTTGAAAGAGATGTTTTAATGGTTAAAGCTCCAGTTAACAGTAGCCAATCTTACTTAATAGGTTTGTAGGCATCTCTAATGGGATGTGTGTAAAAATCCTTTAATACTAGGAATATGCAGAAAGTATAAAAGCTAGATTAGACCGTGTGTGGTTGTGTGTTGTGAGAATCTAGTCACTGTCGTAGCATATTTATGAACCAAGCTATCACAATAAATCATAAAAGGGTGTTATTTACTTGTGCTTAACATATTTATGTAGATACACCCAATATATTTGTTAACCTAGATTCAGGGAGGTATTATTTTTACTGTTGTCCATCCTGCCAATGAGAATGACACATGGGTCATGGTTGTATAACACACCAAACCTGGTGAACAATTTAGCCGACTGGTTTGTAGAAAGAGCTGAATTATAAATGAACCAAAAGAACTGAGATTGTAGAACATGCTGGATTTCCCCTCACTTCCAAAGAAATACTAAACCCAAAAATTTAAGGAACCACACTTAGCCTATTGCACAAATGCAACCGCCAGATCCTTGACTGACCTAACTGAGCATGTTGTGTGAGTGAACATTGCCACTGAGGAACTGCTTCGATCAGCCACATTTCTCCAGCATCTTACCTGTGTAACCGGCCAGGGCAGCAGCAGGAATGACAGGTTTGTCCTTGTTCATGTCAGTTCGATCTCGTACATAGTCCTTGAAAGTGCCTTTGGGCTTGTGGTTGGGCAGAGGAACAGGATAGTCCTCTGAATCAAAGCTATCATAGGAAGGGACACGCTGGAGACTCTGGAAGGATGATTGGCTGCTCCAGGACTGGGCCAGGCGGTCACAACTGTCGTAACTCTCAACACTCTCAAAAGAATCTTGGCCCCCAAGTTTACCTGCAAGGCAAGAAGAAAATGAAGTTCATCCCCAACCAGTGATTGAGATACCTCCATAAATTGGAGAAAGAAGCCCCAGGCTAGAAATAACATCTGTAGACTTCCAGATCCTCTCCAGCGTCGACTTCAATACCATGTTTTAATGGGATAGAAAGGAAAAGTCACTCTAAAATATGGCAAGCAATCATTTGAATTGTCCTTAATGAAATATTGTTTTAGCTTCATTCATCTGCTGTCCCAACTGCATCGTTTCCTTCTTTTTTTGCAGCACAGCCACGAGCCTGTCCCTCAAGAGTATGGGTCTTCAAACTTGGCCCTTTTATGACTTGTGGACTTCAACTCCCAGTGTGCCTGGCTGAGAAATTCTGGAAGTTGGAGACCCCTGCTCAAGAGCTTAATGTAGTTCTCAAGACAAAAAGAAGCTGGCCCATATTTCTGCAACTCCCCCATGAAGGCTTTTGTTGAAGCATTACTGCTGAAACAGAGCCAGACATGAATATCTTCAGGTATAGATCTGCCCTGGAGGGCTGTTGGCATGATGAGGTAGAAGGGCACTATGTCATCTTGGGTTGTGTCCAAAACAGGTATAAGGGAGAGGCCTAAGTTGAACGAAATGAGGATGGGTCTCATATTGTGTCCATCTGACATTCGCATCTCTTAGTGTAAATGATATCACTTAATCTTTTAAAGAATTGATAACAGGGCCATTATGTATTCAAGATGGACAGTGAATAATATTTATATGTTACTTATATGTAAGGGTGTAGGTCGATACCTATGTTGCATATAGTATGTTTTAAATGTGTGTTATGTATGTGTACACTTTGGGAAGAAGCAGCTAAATTTCATTTGTAATGTGTACCATTGTGCACAGAGGAAAAAATGACAATAAAGGTTATCTAATCTAATCTAATCTTTGTGGAGTCAAGGTTCACAGGGATCTATGCCTCTCACTGCTTGAACACTGTCTCCATGCTTTGAACAACCTTTTCCCTGAAATATACTTTCTTCCTATTCAATTAAGGATATTGCTAAATCTGAGAAAGGGACAAAGTTCTTTTTTCAGTGGATCCTAAGGAGAGAAATAGCCCAAACTACAGCTCTGGAGTTATGGTGGAATGTAGTCTGAATTCCAGAGGACAGAGACATCAAGTTTAAATAGTTTGGAGAAAGAGGGTCAAGTCAGCTCCTCCCTAGAAGTTATCAGAGTAGAGCTCTAACATGTAAGTAGTTTGCTTTAACTGGAGAGGATTTCTGCATATAGATGAGGAACAATACAGGAAACGTCTTAGAAGTAACTTTGTGTGTCTTTTTTTGGTTTTTGGAGGTGGTCAGGAGTAGCGTCGTAAGCACGGTAGAAATTATAAACGGAAAGTAGTTCAAGCTCAGATTCAATTTCTAGTTCAATCTCCAGTTTCTCCATTTAACAGCAACATGTTGCAAGGAGAAGGAATGACGTCTTCATACGGATTAGTGAGTTAGATGGAGAAACCACCTGACCTGCTATAGGGAAACCACCAAGCATACAGATTACCACTTGTGCTGCCTATCACGAAACTTCTCCAAATGTGATAAGTATCGTCTTTTATACTCCAGCTTCCAGATTCAGGGTTTGTTTGTTTGTTTGTTTGCTTGCTTGCTTGTTTGTTAATCATGCATTCATTTAAACACTTTCAGATTTCAGCTGCATATGAAGAGCCCTCTGTTACAAACAAGAAAAGACTGTGCATTATTTCTTCTTCTTCCTCCTCCTCCTCCTCCTCCTCCTCCTCCTCCCCTCCTTCTCCTCCTCCTCCCCCTCCTCCTCCTCCTGACTAATAGATGTTACCTCAGTCCTGGCAAGTATGAGGGTTGTTTATTCTTGGCTTCTTAGAGATACTGGCCAGAAGTCCAATATGTCAACTCAGGCAACTCTGCCCAGATTGATCACTCTTATTTCAGCTAAAAATCTGAATTCCTACCAAAGCACACAGGTTGAAAAGTGAACAAATAAAACAAAACAAATAAGATCTGACACTGCTTTCTCTGGAATTCCACTCTATGGCTATTGCTCAACCATTTCAGATTTACTGACAACCTTAACAGCGTAGTAGGATCATCTGAGTTCATTAATTACCAAAACCAGTCTGAAAACAGCTGCTTGGATTGTGCAAGACCAAGGGGAAAAAATTCATTGGCAGAGATGGTGGCAACTAAAGCCCACAGAATAAACCTCAGAGGTGAAGTCTTTGAACTGGCATATTTGCCCTGTTTTGATTTGACCTCCATATCCTCTACAGTATGTACCTCCCTATCCACCCATCCTCAAAATATATCGAGTAAGAATTTAGATAATGGCAGGAAACACTTGCTTGACATAAGCACAGAGAGCCTCTATAAAATTTGGAAGGTGTATGATGCCTTTCTCATGTAGCATCTTTAGAACGCTCAAAAGCAAATCCATGGCTTAAGAAAACAAACAACTCTTCAACCATTCTACTGGTAGAATTTCTAGTTGAAAAATCTTGCATAGCATAACTTAGGAAAAAGTGTCCATCAGTCAAAGGACATATATCACCTTGCCAAAATAGTGCTATTTATTTATTCATTAAACCTGCAGAGTGATCCCAAAGGAGGGATAAATTTGTTAAACAAACAAACAAAACACGTTATTTATTTAGTCGGTTGATGTGCTGTAGGGAGCTGTATCCTGTTGACCTTGGCTGATCTCAAAAGAGCTCAGCAAGGTCAGTTAGACCAGGATAATACTTGGATGGGAAAACATGAAAAGGGTGTTGGCTACATTGGAAAAATAAAAAAAAATAAATCCTAGAAGGCAAACCACTTCCAAATAGTTGCCAAGAAAAGTAGATGGATGTTTCCAGACATCTTTCCATTTTTAAACATTGTGTGATATGTGAGCTTAGCTACTGTGGCTTGATCACAGTGTGATCTCAACTAACTGTAACATATTCCAAAAACCTTGGTTAAATCATAGTTTTATGAACTCCCATAATTCCTCAGCCAGCATGCCTGGCTGAGGAATTCTGGGAGTTGAAGTCCACAAGTCATAAAAGGACCAAATTTGAAGACCCCTGCTTTAAGTGACATAAAATCTCAACCAGTATTGTGACTGGACACCAGTAGCTGAGCTGTGATTTGTTCATTGGTTTGTTACGTTTTTGTGCTAAAAAAAAAAAAGCCCAAAAGGCTGGGTTGGTAACCTATTATGGAAAAAAATAAAATCATCTCAACCCCACTGTAAAGTGTAGGCAGGGGTGTCTGGGAATCAGAACTGGGACAAAGAACAATGTCAAATCCAATTTATTATTGTCATAGGTCTGGGGTATATTAAAGGTATGATGGGGTGAGAATGGATTTATAGGTATGTACATGTTTGAAACCAAAGTCATTTATCCCTATCTACAATAGTGTCCTCATTTGAGTCAGAAGTTACAGCAGATATGTTCCTCCCTGAATTTTGACACAATATAGTCCAACTTGTCAGGGTGGTTACTATGACCATTGCAAGAATTTTTTTTGCAATAGCCTTTGCCAGTTCCAAATTCCTCAAGATGTCTTGGACTATGACTTCCATAGTCAGTAGTTGGGGAAGACTAGGTTAGAACACTTCTCCAGTATACCATCTTTTAGAAAAAGTTACCAGCAATAACAATAGTAGTAGCACTTAAATGTATATACCTCCCTGTAATGCTTTACAGCACTCTTTGGGTGGTTTACAGTGTCAACATCTTGCCCCCAACAATCTGGGTCCTCATTTTATTGACCTTGGAAAGATGGAAGTCTGAATCAATCTTGAGCTCCATCAGGATTGAACTTCGGATTGTGGGCAGAATTAGCCGGAAATACTGCATTTTAACGACTGAGCCACCATGGCTCATTAAAGGCTCACCAGCACAATGCAACCATAAACTCTATCTGAAGAAGTTGTTGGCAATACCAAGAATGGAACAGATGGCCTAAATAAAGAGACCTTTATTATCTATTAGTCTACACTACCTCGGCTGGCACGCCCCATGCACATGTTATCCGGTGTTACGACTTCCTGTTTGATTGTGAAGTAGTCTGTCGGCAAGGAGTCCATCTGCACTGGGTCGCGAAGAATGACTGATGGGTACTCATTCTCGTATTTGAGAGACAGGAGCTCCTCAGAGCTGATTGGATGGAGAGTCTGATAGGACTCTGTGATGAAGCTGGGCTCAGAAAACTCTGATGGAGGCACACACTGGGCATGCTCAATGCCATAACCTACAAAGAGAAAAATGGCGTGAAGTGATGTTCCAGGTTTTTAGGAACCTGCAGAAGGACACAAGTAAAGGGAGGGAGGAGAGAGAAAGAGGGGGGGGAAGGAAGGAAGGAAGGAAGGAAGGAAGGAAGGAAGGAAGAAAGAAAGAAAGAAAGAAAGAAAGAAAGAAAGAAAGAAAGAAAGAAAGAAAGAAAGAAAGAAAGAAAGAAAAGGAATTGGACTTACTAATGAAGTAGTCGGATGTATAGCGAGATTCTGGATAGGCAGTATTTATTCCATTTGCTGGATATGGCTTGATCTCTTCTATATGAAATAAATGAAAGGGAATATCTCAATTATTCACCAACAATACAACTGGTGTGTGTGTGTGTGTGTGTGTGTAATTTTCCTGAGTGCCAAACATTATGCAATTTTCTTATGTTTCTTTAGAAGAGCCTGTTAAGAAACTGTGACTGATGCAAAGTCATCACACACCATGGTGATGAGTATGTCAAACAGGCACCTGAAGAAAAATTTATGGAAACACTATTGAACATAGAAAGTGATAGTTACCCAAAAAAAAATGCAAGATGTGAACCAAAAAGGCATGAATCACTGTGGAGTTCAGTGGTGTGCATGTAAGCATGGCTTTCCATGTCATGAACATCTGCATTAAAATTTTGTATACAATTTCCAAGACTTTACCTATGTGGCATCTGTTGTTTTAAACAGCTTGAAGGTCCTGACTGCAATAAGGATAGCAGACTGGTGCAATCAATATAGTTTGAGCACAGTTCCCATAATCACCAACCATATGCCAAGCTGGCTAATGAAAGTTAAACACAAGAATTGTCCTCCTTAAGTTCTATTAAACAAATGTTGATATAGTTACATGCCTTACAGTTGTGTAATAGGATTTTCCCTCCATTTTTATCAGACTAAGAAAGCTATTTGTGGCTGGCAGCTACATCTTCTGAGTAAGCCCCTTGGCACGGTCTAGTCATATTGCAAAATGACTGAATATTTTTCATTGATTTTGATTTAATTTGACTATTGTTCCAAACTGTGAATAAGGAAAGCATCATGCTCCAATGCAAGGAGATCAAGTCGTTATTCATCTGTTTGTTAACAAATTTCACGGAGGGGAAACCGTTCTCTGCCAATTTGATGAGTTCCCTTTCTATTCCCTTACCTAAATCGTTTATGAAGATATTGAAGAGAACTAAGACAGAACCTTGGGATAACCCACTGCTTACTTCCCTCCATGTAATTTGTTAGCCAACCAACAGAATAACAAAATTCTGTTATTTGGCAGGAGGATCTCGAGGAATTGGGGGGGATCTAGAAAAGGATCTCAGTGGTCTAGGTGGCCCACAAGCTCCTATGCTCAATATCAGCTTGACTAAGCCAGATTGTACGGAGCAGCATGTCCTAGTGCCATTACTTCAAAAACTTTTGCGGGAAGCAAACACAAAGAACTGCATGGTCAAAGTAATCAAGATGGCCAGGGTCAAACATTCTGCCCTGACCTGATTACTTTTACGAGCAGCCTTCTGACACGCTTAGCTATTTCAAAACATTTCAGTCAGAGGTGACTCACCTACCACAGGCTGTCTAACAGAGACAGAAAAGGCATCAGGCAAGGACATATATTCTGACATATATTTCAGAATACTCAAAATTTATTCCTTTCCCTTCCCCATGTCCTAAAATAAACTCTTGTTCCTCAGAGTCAGCAGTGTCCTCTCGCTGACTACAAAGCTGGTGCCCTCTCTAGAACTATAACACGGCTTATTCCCTTCCCTGTGTTTATCTATCTGGGGTTTGGCAGATCTGTCCAGGAGGAGGTGGGTTCCCTGGTGGCTCAAAACTAGTCAGTACATATGGGACTATAGGACTGAAAGATGACTATGAAGGAGGGAGGACTTCTTTTAACCTTAGCACCTTTGTGAAAATTTACCCAACAGTCATGCTTATACCTGAGGTATCCAACCATGGCAACTTTAAGCATGGCTGGCTGGGGAATTCTGGGAGCCCACAAGTCTTCAAGTTGCCAAGGTTGGACACCTCTGCTTTAGATAGTCTTCATCTCACTAGACAAAGATAATAGCTATCAGATGCATGATAATTTCCCCTTTCTAGTTTTGCAAATAGAAGTAGAAAGTGAAAACTGTTTTTCAACCTCTTTCAGCCACTGTATATAACTAGCTATTTGGAAGGTACCTAGCAAATGCTCAATTTTCTGGATCTCAGTAAGTGGACTTTGCATACAACAGACCAAATTCCATTACAGTTTATGTAAGGACACATTTACACAAATGATTTAACTTGCATTATTTCCCTAATGTCATTATGCAAAATTCGGTTAGTTGCACAATGACACAGATAATGCATTGCCACAGTGATGCACTGTTCAATTTCTCAGATTATGGGGAATAATCAACATGGTCTTCCTCCAAATAATCCATTAAAACAAGGTTTCACTGCATATGTTTCCAGATCCTTATTTGGCAAAAAGATTCCTTGTTTTCTAGAATTCAATCTTAATCAACTTTTGCCAATATCTCCAGCTTAAAAACAATTGGCTAATTTGAGTGTTGTTTTCATGTTATTTCCTAGACTGTTGTTCAATTCTAAGGAGATGCCACCCCCACTAACTCCCATGCAAGTAAACAAAAAAAAAAACATTTGTCAAAGCCACAACATGCATTGCCTAGTATTTAGCAATAGCAATAGCAATGAGACTTATATATTGCTTCATAGGGCTTTACCACCCTCTCTAAGCAGTTTACAAAATCAGCATCTTGCCCCCAACAATCTGGGTCCTCATTTTACCAAAGGATGGAAGGCTGAGTCAACCTTAAGCCGGTCAGGATTGAACTCCTGGTAGTGGGCAGATTTAATCTGCAATACTGCATTCTAACCACTGTGTCAACAGGGCTCTTTCATATGTAGATGAGGCTCATTGCCAATTATTCAGGGCAAATGGTAAAACTACTATATCCTGACTCCTGTTTTAGCACATTTTTAACTTAAATTTTAAGTTAATTTTTAAGCCACCCAAACATAGAGAAGCACCTTAGATTGAGTTAAGCTTTTGCTCCCATCAAGATGAAGGGTCTGCAAGATTTTCAAGCATGCTGGGCCCACCCTTCCCAGAGAAGATTGTGCAAGGATAAAAGCTGAATTGGGATTCAACTGAATTGATATTTAAGCTCATGAAACCAAATATGATTCCTTAGACATGTTCATGTGGTGGTCACATCTGAAGAGGTTCTGAATACAATGGACTGAAGCTCTTGGAGGAGGTTGACATGATTTTGGGGGACATCTGCTAATGTACTCCATTTCTGATTAGTATTCTCTATATTCATTGATTCTTAAAGCATTTTAATCTAAGGAATTTTTCCCAGCCCACCAGAAGTTACTTGGGATTTTGGGAAAACAAGTCCTTAAACTCTAGATTTTTAGTATACCATATGCATTATGTGTGTCATGGTGATGCCAGTTTGCTCAGCATAACAAAACATGTGGAAACTGAAATCTCTATGCTCTGCATGCATCTTGCTCTATCACTCAACTCTCTCATACTGTGTGGTCGCCACACTGTAAAAAAAGATGTTGAGACTCTGGAAAGAGTGCAGAGGAGAGCAACAAAGGTGATCAGGGGACTGGGGGCTAAAATATATAAAGAACAGTTGCTGGAATTGGGTATTTAAGGAAGAGAAGGACTAGGGGTGACATGATAGCAGTCTTCCAATATCTCAGAGGCTGCCACATAGAAGAGGGAATCAAACTATCCTCCAAAGCACCTGAAGGCAGGACAAGAAGCAACAGATGGAAACGAACCAAAGAGAGAAGCAACCTGGAACTAAGGAGAAACTTCCTGACAGAACAATTAACCAGTGGAATGATTTGCCTCCAGAAGTTGTGAATGCTCCAAGACTAAAAATTTTTAAGAAAAGATTGGACAGCCATTTGTCTGGAATGGTATAGGGTTTCCTGCCTGAGCAAGGGGTTGGACTAGATGACCTCCAAGGTCCTGTTATTCTATATTCATTGAAACTTGTTGGGCATGAAAAGGGGAATGGAAAAGAGCCGCCCCTGTGTGCCACCAACGAAGGAGAGGAGAAGCTGTCCATCTTACATCCAAGCATGTTTACCTTCAGAAAGCCACAAAAGGTGGAAACATCCCCTACCTTTTTAGTGGATTTCATGGAACAGACAAAACTGTCCCAACCCACTGTTTCCTCCCAAAATGGAATAATAAGCACCTGCCTCTACCTATTACAGAAGCCTCCAAAATGGTTTGCAAACATCTTAGTGGTACCCTCTATTTACAGTTGGTTTCACCTTATTATTCAAGACTGAATGCCACTCTGTTACTTTTTAAAGCTTATCCAGGGTAGTCCAAGAATAGCTATGCTTTCCCATTATTTTTGGAAAAAGGAGGTGCCAGAAACACAGCTTTGCCCTTATAAACTGTGTGCAGCTCAACAGTCAAAACCCCTAATTTATAAAGGCCTTTATATGAACTTGGTTCACTGGCATATTTTCCCCACAGGCTCCTGAGAATAAGATTTTGCAGGTACTTGGCAAGGAACTGGATGCTGGTAAACTATAAGCATACTGGAAAATCCCACCCATTAAAGCACAGACACACTTCCTATCAGTGGCTACAGTGCTGTTCTCCTTGTTTGTAACTCCTCTTTTTAATAGCTTAAGCACATTGATGGAAAAGCTACTAAAAAGATTTTGTGCAGGAATAGTCAGCTAAAGATAGGAGAAAGGTATAATTTAACCACAAAACTTGGGTCTGAAATATGTAAACTAAGTTAGCAATCTGATAAGCCCCTGTGGCATTGTGCAGTCTTGCAGAGTTGAACTCATGTCCTAGTCCAGCGTTTCTCAACCTCAGCAACATTAAGATGAGTGGACTTCAAGTTCCAGAATCACACACACACCCCGCAGCCAACAAGGGGGTGAGAGATATCTCTTTGGGATTCGATGGCACTCTAGTATCCATAGATCTTGTGTTAAATCAACTCATAATGTAAACTGTGGTTGTCCAACTTCTTGGCTTGCCTGGGCTGCATTGAATGAAGAGGAATTGTCTTGGGCCACATATAACATTTATAATATAGTTAATGTATATAAGTAATAAAAATATAGAAAACTAAAGAAAGAATGTTATCTTGTAGGCCACATTACTAGCGGTCCAGGGCCACATGTAGTCCATGAGTTGCAAGTTGGACACATCTTATGTAGACAGTTCCTAAACAAATACAATCTCTCTGAAGGCAATTTCCTATGTTCCCCAAAATAGATAAAGATAACACTCCCTTTAAAAATGTATGGGTAAGGGCAAGCTGCTTTGTAACTACACTTTGCCAAAAGTATTCAGTAGAAGATGCTGCATATTTATATCTCTGAGGAACAACTAAACCTGATAAAGTGATGCAGAACCAGGAACATTGATTCTGCAGTGGGATATTCAGGAACTCTCACGAACTTGTGCAGTCTTCCAATACAGTCCTGATCAAGGCAAGTGAGGTTTTTATTGGTGGTCGTCATATATTACCTTTCTGCAACATCTCCAGATGTTCCCAAAGAATGTCTCCTACAAAGTCTGGTGCTAATTCAAGGAAGCAGTCCTTCCCTAGGGCACACAGGGCAGCTCCATTCATGCAGAACTTCTGGAAGTCCACATCCTTCAGACTGAACTCATTCATGGCCCACATAATCCAGTCCCGTACATGAGTTTCTGTCCACTGGTGAGGATCTACATGAGGAAACCACAGATAAAAAGAGGTAGTGGGTGGGTGGCATGTTGTATGCAGTTTACAGCATTCTATTGGGGAAGGTTGCAAGATCTCTGCTAGACTGAATTATTCGCCCTTGAATCTCTCTCAGCAAAAAATCATATGGAATTCTCTCCACTGTTGATAATCCAGTGAGAAGTAAGCTTTTCCCAATATGCTGGCAGAATTGGCAGAGACCTCAGTTTTTATCCAAGCTGGCTAGAAGCTGGATATTATTCAGAAGTTCTTTGGATGATCAGATATTGGAAACCATCACCTTGACATATTAATTGCAATTTTGCCCAGTCTACAGGTAGCCCTTGACTTATGACTGGTTGATTCTCAACTGTTTGAAGTTACAACAGACCTCCCTGGGGGTATTTACAACCCAGTTCCAAAGTTACGATTGCTGCTCCCCGTGAAGTCATAGGACCACATGTTAGGCACTTGGCAACCAGCTCACGTTTACTGCCATTTGCAGTGCCCCACAGTTGCATTACTGTATTTTGTGATGGTTTTGCTGAAAACCAGTATTTCCGTCGAATTTTTGGCAAGATCAGCCCATTGGATTACTTAACAACCAGGATGTTTGCTTAATGACCGTGGTGGTCCTTCTACAAGCATGGTGGTTGCTTAACCACTGCTGCAAAGAAGGTTGTAAAATTGGGTTAGTCACATGGGTGACCTAAAGGATGAGAAGTTACCACCATGATGGGCAGACTCCATTTTGGTTGAACGTTGAGGACTACAGTATCAAATACGATTCCCTTCTTAATAATATACCAACCACCCTTTAAAAATATAGTAATATATAAGAAAAAGGCTGTCGGTTGTTTCCACCATCGAGTTGAATGTCACTTAGTTAAGTATCAGAGCAAAGGAAGTATGAATCTCAAAGTTGTGGAAGGCTACGGAGACAACCTCTGAGGAACTCTATGCCCTGGGAGCTACAATATATCCATAAATGATACAACTGCTACCCTTATGTTCCAAACGCTATGCAGTGTTCAAATTGCTTTCTATATACTAAATGAAAACTGAATTACCCAAGAGGGACTCTCGAATACATTCCACCAACCCATTCAACTTGCACCTGTTTTGAAACCACACACTTTTGTAGCAGGTTTGCACAAGTCAGTACTTGTGACTTACCTTTGGGTATTCCCAGTCGTTGCTGCTCTTTTGTGAAACCACTGAACGTGGCTTTTAATGCCTGAGACATCATTTCTTTGCTGCTTGGGGTTAACAAAGGCACATCTGCACATTCCATATCTAAAAGACAGAGATGAGAAACAGGAACATCAGTGGATAAAGTGGTATGAATGGTGGAAGGACCAGGGAACTGAAGTTGTAGCATCGATTTCAATAGGCCCAACATTTTTTTCCTGGCTAGAATACTACTCAAAAGGCAAATCTAAGTTGACTAGAAGATAATATTCCATGAACAGCCAATGGAAGTGGACTGTATGAGGCCATTTTTGAGTTGCTGCTCTTTGGTTTTGATTTTGTAAAGATATATAGAATTGAAGATTAGGCATTAAGTCTCCCTTGGTCAAGTGCCAAAATCAAGAAAGACATGTTGAGATTCTTCTAAGCAGTTTTCTTTATGGTCTCTTACCTATAGACAGAAATCTTGCCAAACTAAAACAGTGCACTTGCACAATAAAAGATATACCCTGGGAACTATGATAATTATGGTAAGGCAAACTCCACTTATCTCAGTAAGCTCACCCAAAATATGTATGGCTACACATTTTTATGGCAATGAAATCCTCATTTAAAGTAAGGGGGTAGGGTGAGGACGGAGAGTGTCACCTAGATAGGAAGGTTTCTTTTCTATATATGTTTATGGTATTTTGTTTGATAGTCTACTAAGATATACAGTTTTGCTTGTTATCTTTCTGCAGAACTCAAGAACACCGTTTTTGGTGGGATATTTAGGAGCAAACGCTATGGGAACTATAGCCAAGCTATTGGAGAATGAGCAACAGATTCCAAACACTGTTTAAAAATGTCATTGGGATATTTAGAGGATTTTATTAGCAAAGCTCTGGAGAAATAAACACACTGCTGAGCCAACTCTGCCATTCATCTTCTGCTCAGAGATAACACTAAGAGAAAGTGTCCTGCACACTCTCCCCCCTACTTTTAAGCAGCTTGTTGGGTTTTAATGATGGGCTTAGCGTGCTTGGTGGGTAAGAAAAATGACCACCCACCCACCAACAACTCAATCACCTTTGCAGCCTGGTCAGAGGGCAGCTGGGTTACTCTCTGGCTATGGGAGAGTGATTCAGGCACAACTTGGAGAGATGGGAAAAGCCAATCCTGAGACTTGTTTTGCTGTTGACCAACTTCAAATACAAAAAGAAGCACATGTGCACAGCAGACCTTGAGAAACACACCAGGAAACAGGCCCACAGGGCCATGTGCTTCACGTTCCCTTAAACCAGGGGTTCCCAACCAGGGGTGCGAGACAATATTCCAGAGGGTGCGAAGACTTGGGTTTTCAAATTTATTGTGTATATGCATAATTCATTGGCGTTATTTCGAACTTTTGTAAGGGGTACGAGAATATATCAGAAGCATTCTAGGGGTGCAGGGTATAGAAAAGGTTGGGAGCCACTGCCTTAAACCAAAGCCCATTTAGTTACTCTTCATAAAGCACGTGCATGGATTGTAGCACTGACAAATCATGAGGGTGAAGGTTCGTTCTCCGAACTTGTGGATTGGTTTCCGAACGTTTCATTACAAGGCTAGGTAACATCTTCAGTGGAATTTAGGGGGTGATAGTGTCAGTGTTCTTCTGTTGATAAGGGCTTCAGGTTGTTTTCCTCGTGTTTCCTTTCTTAAGTAGAATTCTAATTTTACCTCCATCTGGTTGGGCAAGGGGTTCTCTCTCTGAAAAATAGTTTGCAATAGTGGCAAATATCCGTAGCTCAGGTAGAAGATGAGGGCGAAGGTTCATTCTCCGAGCTTGTGGGTTAGTTTCCAAATGTTTTGTTACCAGGCTGGGTAACATCTTCAGCAGAGTTTAGGAGATGTCAGTGTCAGTGTTCTTCTGTTTATAAACCTTCACCTTCATCCCATACCCGAGCTAAAGATATTCGCCACTACTGCAAACTGACAAATAATATTTGATGAATTTGGCTGGGTTAACATGAGGTATGCAAGCATAAATGCTGTGGTTCATGCATACTACTAAACAATAAGCCATAGTTTACAAGCCACCAATGGTTGACTTTAATAAAATAGCCTGTTTCGTACATAGTGCTAGGCCGTGATATTTAATTTGTTCCATACTGCAAAATTTGTTTGGTGCACACAGTTATGAAGTAACTTCCCGATTGGCTGGATTTACACTTGATGCTATGTTATGGCTTAATTGGGGTTTTGTGAATAAACCATAATTGACTGGGTTTACATCAATCTAAACCATCCAAACCACATTTTGGCTTAGCATAGCATTTGGACCAGGGATAAAAAAGTATGCTATTATACTACAAAGGACATTGAATATCTATACTGTGAATTCAATATAAAATTTCAGTCTTCCTAATTATTCCTACATCTCTTTCCTTGATATCTATTGTAAAGTTTCTGATTCAATGTGACATGTCTCACATAAAAAAAAGACTATATGTTTTCCTGAAATAATTTTGTTAGATATTTTGCTAACATTTATAAACAGGTTGCCGCTGTTGAGAGTTTCTCTTTACTTTCAGGATTTTAATTACACTCTTCTCAAATATTTTCTCCAAGTTTATATCAGCTCAAGTGCTAGGAAGCATTTTTTACATTTCCTTTGCCCAACTAGCATCTATTAAAAGAAATAAAGTCCTTCTTGCCAAATGCTGTTCCCAGATTTAATTTCTAAAACAAGATCTGCCTTTCTGAACATCTATCAATCAATTAAGATGAGAATTTGCAAACCAAGTAGAAGTAAGCGTTGGTGACTTCAACCCTATGTTTAATTACAATTACTTCCAAGTAAAAATGTCTTGGATTCAGTTGTATAATCGGTTCTCCAAGTCAACATATAACAGCATACAATGCCTTATAACATAAACTTAACTATGCTGACTCAGAAATAAACTTTATTTCAATGGAATTTACTTCTAAATATATTTGGATTGCAGCCGTAAAGAGGCAGGACTGATGTCTTTCTTCAAACTTGTGTGGATAGATGGATAAATGATAGATAGATAGATAGATAGATAGATAGATAGATAGATAGATAGATAGATAGATAGATAGATAGATAGATAGATAGGCAGGCAGGCAGGCAGGCAGGCAGGCAGGCAGGCAGACAACTGGCCCATCTTTATTGTTTTTATAAATATCTCAAAGTGGCGAACATATCTAACATACCTTTTCCACACAACAATGATTCTACGAGGTTGAAGGAGAGAGAGTAACTGGCCCTCAAATTCACCCAACTGGCTTTAATGCCTAAGGCAGGACTAGAAGTCACATTCTCCTGGTTTCTAGCCTGTTGCCTTCACCACTAGACCAAACTGGCTGGCTAGACAGACAAAGACAGGCAGAGAGACAATAATGATAGATAGATAGATAGATAGATAGATAGATAGATAGATAGATAGATAGATAGATAGATAGATAGACAGACAGACAGACAGACAGATGCATAGATAGATTAAATGGAAGTAATGTTCATTTAAAATTGATACTTGTTTTGTTCAAGATGACAAGAGCTTGTAGCATCCAGTCCTGATCCAAGTTCAGTAACACATGAATTGCTCTCTCTTTAGCAAGATTCCATCACCCGGTCTCCCTGAACAGATACTACTCCAACCTAGCATGCAGTCCAAACAGCTCAAGTTTCACTCATGATCAACAAAACACAGCTAGTAGTATAATGTTATTTTGCAATATGGAGAACAAGCACAAATAACCCCACAGATGTTGTCCTCAAAAGAGAAAACTAAGGCTTGCTTAACTGAAAAAACACAGCTAACTATTTCCAGGCTACATTTTACAGAGTTTAATATACATTTAGTACAGGCTAATATTATATAGCAGACATCAAATGCCACCTTAAATAATTAACATAATAATCAAATAGTTATCTCGTTACATGAAATCATGCTTTGGATAAAATAAAAATGGTTGGATTAACATAATGCATAATATACTAAGGCTAGGCCATCAATGTATATATCAATTAGTGTCGTAAGATATAGCTTATTCACCTATGTTAATAAGTCAATCAAACTCTACTTTTAAAGCCCTGATGATTAGAATCACACAATATATTAAACCCAAACCAAATATACCTTACAATTTAATATAAGGTATGAGTGCATATTCAATAGATCTGGGTCATCTTTTAAAGACCATAAACCCAAAAAGCTCTCAAAGATTTATTTTCTCAAACAGAACATTGATTCTCCTTTTTTTTTTTTTGCCAACTTAATATGCCTATGTGTAAGAATTTCATGCTAGGTACCATGAACGAGGCTGTTCTCCATATAGTAGTTTGGCAAGTTCAAAACTCACTCAACGATAAACTCCAACATTGTTTATGACTGGGCATTCTTCATATCTGTTCCATTTTCACTATGATTGCTAAGTTGCTGTTCACTTGTGGAGGACCAAATTTTCATCACCACTACTTTACAACAGCATTCAAACCCAAATCATGGCAATTTAAGCAGCATTTAAAGCTCGTTTATATATGCGACAGTAATAAGTGGAGACATTCCTCTCCATCTTGCTTTATATAAACTTCAAGTCCCAATTCTAGTTGTTCTTTCTGAAAAATCCCTTCTGCCCTTCTTCCTCTATAGTACCTTACACAGTAGCCAAGCCAAAATTGATGTCCAGCTAGGGCTGGTCACAACAGAAGTTGGCTGACCTGGGCACCTCTTCCTGTCTGAAGATCTGATGGATAACCACTAAGGTCAGGGATCAAGCTCCCTATTGACTTCAAGAGAAGCAAAATGTCACTCTTACCAACACTTCACTCCCTGTAGCCATATCTACTAACTCTTAAGCTATCAGAAAAAGACACCTAATAGTATGGAAGACTAAAGCAAAGAACTCTATGGCTAGATTCACATATCAGGTTAAGCCATAAAATGGTTTGCTTGGTTTGGGCTTTCCATGTTGTATGAACCCATCAATTATTAATATTATAGGGATGGCTGAAGTCCACACATCTGAAAATGACTAAGGCTGGGAAACACTGTCCTAGAGAGAAGTTAGGTTAGCTTAGATCAATTGCACATGAGACTAGCAAACAATGCATTTGA